TTGGCCAATTCCACGGTCGCTCAGACATTTGTTGCTGTCTACACCATGGTGGATGAATGTGAGTGTCGCAGTCTGGACCAATAGTGTAGCCGCATGGTCAAATTGTGTTTGTACCATGCGAGCTCAGCGACATGAAGTACACATGGAGTTAAAACAAGCATGAACATCACTAGCACCAGAGTGAGCACGAACAACACTTTTGAGGCATATTGAGCTTCAGCAACACCAGCACCTGAGCAACACTTTAGTAGCACAGTAGACATGAAAACACTTTAGCAGTACAGTGGACATGAACAACACTTTAGTAGCACAGTAGACATGAAAACACTTTAGCAGTACAGTGGACATGAACAACACTTTAGTAGCACAGTAGACATGAACAACACTTTAGCAGTACAGTGGACATGAACAACACTTTAGCAGCACAGTAGACATGAACAACACTTTAGCAGCACAGTGGACATGAACAACACTTTAGTAGCACAGTGGACATGAACAACACTTTAGTAGCAGTGGACAGTTTAGCAGTACATGGACATGAACAACACTTTAGTAGCACAGTAGACATGAACAACACTTTAGCAGCACAGTGGACATGAACAACACTTTAGCAGCACAGTGGACATGAACAACACTTTAGCAGCACAGTGGACATGAACAACACTTTAGCAGCACAGTGGACATGAACAACACTTTAGCAGCACAGTGGACATGAACAACACTTTAGCAGCACAGTGGACATGAACAACACTTTAGCAGCACAGTGGACATGAACAACACTTTAGCAGCACAGTGGACATGAACAACACTTTAGCAGCACAGTGGACATGAACAACACTTTAGCAGCACAGTGGACATGAACAACACTTTAGTAGCACAGTGGACATGAACAACACTTTAGTAGCACAGTGGACATGAACAACACTTTAGCAGCACAGTGAACAACACTTTAGTAGCACAGTGGACATGAACAACACTTTAGCAGCACAGTGGACATGAACAACACTTTAGTAGCACAGTGGACATGAACAACACTTTAGTAGCACAGTAGACATGAACAACACTTTAGCAGTACAGTGGACATGAACAACACTTTAGTAGCACAGTGGACATGAACAACACTTTAGTAGCACAGTGGACATGAACAACACTTTAGTAGCACAGTGGACATGAACAACACTTTAGCAGCACAGTGGACATGAACAACACTTTAGCAGCACAGTGGACATGAACAACACTTTAGTACAACACACAGTGGACATGAACAACACTTTAGTAGTAGCAACACTTTAGTAGACAGTGACATGAACAACACTTTAGCAGCACAGTGGACATGAACAACACTTTAGCAGCACAGTGGACATGAACAACACTTTAGCAGCACAGTGGACATGAACAACACTTTAGTAGCACAGTGGACATGAACAACACTTTAGCAGCACAGTAGACATGAACAACACTTTAGCAGTACAGTGGACATGAACAACACTTTAGCAGCACAGTGGACATGAACAACACTTTAGCAGCACAGTGGACATGAACAACACTTTAGCAGTACAGTGGACATGAACAACACTTTAGTAGCACAGTGGACATGAACAACACTTTAGTAGCACAGTGGACATAGACACTTTAACAACACTTTAGCAGTACAGTAGACATGAACAACACTTTAGCAGTACAGTAGACATGAACAACACTTTAGCAGTACAGTGGACATGAACAACACTTTAGCAGTACAGTAGACATGAACAACACTTTAGCAGTACAGTAGACATGAACAACACTTTAGCAGTACAGTGGACATGAACAACACTTTAGCAGCACAGTGGACATGAACAACACTTTAGCAGCACAGTGGACATGAACAACACTTTAGCAGCACAGTGGACATGAACAACACGATAACATCTCTTGTTTCAGACTGCAGTAGGATTATTGATGTGAACAACACTGAGAACATCTCTGTGATGGTGCCAGGCGACAGGTCTCCGCTGACGGACTGTCGCTGGATCCTCCGTGCACAGCCCGGGTACACACTGATGCTCAACATAACCACGCTTAGAGTTCTGCCAGGGGCCGACAAGGTTATCATCACCGACGGGGGCTCCATGGCGTCACCATTCATGTCCCAGATACAGACTCTGCCTACTGAAGGTCAGCTCATGACATATACAGCCAAATCATTTTTGTGACATTCCTGACCAATACACGGTACAGTTATAGACTGGTGATGAGGTCAATACCTCTTTTTATGGACCAGCGAAAGGCAATATTGACCGAGGACCACTACGAAGTCCCGAGGTCAATATTTGCTTTTCACGGTTCCATAAAAACAGGTATTGACCAAATTCACCAGTCCATAATTGTTTTATTATGTAATTACCGGAAAAAAGCTTCTAAAAACCAAAACATGTGCATTTAGTCAAGAAAAGTAATTTTATTTTCACTAGAAACCAATAACGTTATGTCAACAATACTGTCACATGTAAACAATAGAATGACGTCATAGCTTGACGCCTTTACATAAACAAAATCTATTTTTAGTAACTCAAGTCAATATGACTTTTGGTCAGACTGGGTTGGAGTCAATATGCTTCTCTGTCGATGGTCACGTGACCGCCTCTAGACCAATCAGGTAGCCAGAAAAATATGCCTAATTGTACTAGATGTTTGGTTATCAGTGTACTATTTGAAGTCATGAGAACAGATTAATCTTCTTTGTATCAAAAATCAGTCACTTATTTCAGGAGACCAGCTCTGGGGTGAGCTTTGTTTGACTCTGACATAAGACCGTCACTGATCTTGTTGCAGGTGACCTGGTGACCAGCTCTGGGAGTGAACTTTGTCTGACTCTGACATAAGACTGTCACTGATCTTGTTGCAGGTGACCTGGTGACCAGCTCTGGTAGTGAACTGTGTCTGACTCTGACATGAGACTGTCACTTTATTTTGTTGCAGGTGACCTGGTGACCAGCTCTGGGAGTGAACTGTGTCTGACTCTGACATAAGACTGTCACTGATCTTGTTGCAGGTGACCTGGTGACCAGCTCTGGAAGTGAACTGTTTCTGACTCTGACATTAGACTGTCACTGATCTTGTTGCAGGTGACCTGGTGACCAGCTCTGGAAGTGAACTGTGTCTGACTCTGACATAAGACTGTCACTGATCTTGTTGCAGGTGACCTGGTGACCAGCTCTGGGAGTGAACTGTGTCTGACTCTGACATTAAACTGTCACAGATCTTGTTGCAGGTGACCTGGGAGTGAACTGTTTCACTCTGACGGAGACTGTCTCTGATCTTGTTGCAGGTGACCTGGGAGTGAACTGTGTCTGACTCTGACATAAGACTGTCACTGATCTTGTTGCAGGTGACCTGGTGACCAGCCTCTGTTTCTGACTCTGACATGTAAGACTGTCACTGATCTTGTTACAGGTGACCTGGTGACCAGCTGAACTGTGTCTGACTCTGACATAAGACTGTCACTGATCTTGTTGCAGGTCCAGCTCTGGTGACTTTGACTTTTTGTTGCAGGTGACCTGGTGACCAGCTCTGGGAGTGAACTGTGTCTGACTCTGACATAAGACTGTCACTGATCTTGTTGCAGGTGACCTGGTGACCAGCTCTGGGAGTGAACTGTGTCTGACTCTGACATAAGACTGTCACTGATCTTGTTGCAGGTGACCTGGTGACCAGCTCTGTGTCTGACTCTGAGTGAATCTGTGTCTGACTCTGACATAAGACTGTCACTCTGACATTAAGATCTTGTTTGTTGCAGGTGACCTGGTGACCAGCTCTGGGGTGAACTGTGTCTGACTCTGACATAAGACTGTCACTGATCTTGTTGCAGGTGACCTGGTGACCAGCTCTGGGAGTGAACTGTGTCTGACTCTGACATAAGACTGTCACTGATCTTGTTGCAGGTGACCTGGTGACCAGCTCTGGAAGTGAACTGTGTCTGACTCTGACATAAGACTGTCACTGATCTTGTTGCAGGTGACCTGGTGACCAGCTCTGGGAGTGAACTGTGTCTGACTCTGACATAAGACTGTCACTGATCTTGTTGCAGGTGACCTGGTGACCAGCTCTGGAAGTGAACTGTGTCTGACTCTGACATAAGACTGTCACTGATCTTGTTGCAGGTGACCTGGTGACCAGCTCTGGAAGTGAACTGTGTCTGACTCTGACATAAGACTGTCACTGATCTTGTTGCAGGTGACCTGGTGACCAGCTCTGGGAGTGAACTGTGTCTGACTCTGACATAAGACTGTCACTGATCTTGTTGCAGGTGACCTGGTGACCAGCTCTGGGAGTGAACTGTGTCTGACTCTGACATAAGACTGTCACTGATCTTGTTGCAGGTGACCTGGTGACCAGCTCTGGGAGTGAACTGTGTCTGACTCTGACATTAAACTGTCACTGATCTTGTTGCAGGTGACCTGGGAGTGAACTGTGTCTGACTCTGACATAAGACTGTCACTGATCTTGTTGCAGGTGACCTGGTGACCAGCTCTGGAAGTGAACTGTGTCTGACTCTGACATAAGACTGTCTCTGATCTTGTTGCAGGTGACCTGGTGACCAGCTCTGGGAGTGAACTGTGGATAAGGCTTGTGGTTGGGGATCTACCAGGGGACAGGAAACTGGCTCTGTATGTCGCTGAACAAGGTCAGTATGAAGTCAAACAGTCCTAGATTAGGAAGTTAATGTATAGCATGCAGCAGATGTTCCATTACTGCTATCACCTGGTTGAGTGTACAACGGAAATACAAAGCCCAGGCCTTGCATGTATGAGTCCTGGAGAGTCTTGTTTCTGTTCTGTATGGGAACATCCAGTAAGTGTTTCCTGAAAATAGAGCCCAGACAAACCAGGAGGCATATCCTGTTTTCCTTCTGTAATTGTCATATCCTGTTTTAATGTCTGTAACAGCCAACGGTGGCAGCTTCCGTGGCAGCGGCAACATCACCATGCAACCCAGCCCCGACAACAAGACCGCCGATGCCCTGTACTACCAGTTTTCTGCCCCCCAGGGCCAACAGGTCCAGGTCACCCTGTCCCAGAACAGCCTGATGTACCCGCTGGCCTCTCTCGACTTCTATGATGGTCTCCAGCCCAAGGACAAGCTTCTGGTGTCCTTCAAGTGAGTGGATGGGGCATGAGACTGTATCTAGAGACCTGATTATTTCTCAGGGCACAGGAGACTGTGTTTAGAGATTTGATTAATTGTCAGTGGACAGGGAGACTGTATCTAGAGATCTGATTATTTCTCAGGGCACAGGAGACTGTGTTTAGAGATTTGATTAATTGTCAGTGGACAGGGAGACTGTATCTAGAGATCTGATTATTTCTCAGGGCACAGGAGACTGTGTTTAGAGATTTGATTAATTGTCAGTGGACAGGGAGACTGTATCTAGAGATCTGATTATTTCTCAGGGCACAGGAGACTGTGTTTAGAGATTTGATTAATTGTCAGTGGACCGAGGACTGTCGTTTTGGTGTTTGTTTCATCACATCTGGACTGGCTGGAACTGATCTATGTTGACAGGACCAAGACACAAGCATTCCCAGTGACGTCGCCTAGCAACGCTGCTGCTGATGGTGGCCAGGAACTTCAATCAGAGGGAAAACTTCAGTCTGGAGTACCAGGCAGTGGACCAAAGTCAGATATACTTCATTTTGATGTATAGTATATAGTTAGAGGACCAGTGTATATAGCTGAGAAGGCTGGGGTCAGATATATGTCGTCTCTATTCAGAGTATGTAAAGGACAACAGTGTGATAAACATCAGCTATACTCACAGTTTTCTGCCTAGAGGACCAAACTCAGCTCTTTGCTTTCTTTCAAACTCAAACCACTTCACTTTCTCTCAATTCTGGGATGCCTTGATTAAAAAGACTGCCATTGTAGGACCAGGGTGTGCCGGTCTAGGCTCAGATAGGTGCAATATAGCAACAATATAGCTAGTGGTGCTATGTGCAGTACACATGTCTAAGGTGAGATGCTGGAGTAAGGTTGTGTCAAAAGGCAGAGCAAGGTGACACAGCAATCTTTTCCCAGGAGCATAGTCAGCAGTTAAACTTCCTTTTAAATAATCCACATACAGCAATACAAGAAGCTTGTCCTAAATACACACTATCAGGTAGTGTCAGCCATGTTGATTGTTGATATTGTTGTGCAGGTTGCAATGTTGTGGCATCTGGAACCAGGGGAGACTACTCTTTGAACCCTGAGGCTGTCCCAGGAACACTGTGTCGCTGGACGATCAGACCAGCAAGTCAGCAAGGTGAGTGAGAGCATCCCTCTCAGAGTTACACAGCACAATACAGGTAGTGGATGTGAGGTGCAATAAATGTAGAACTGGATCCTGATGGAGGGCAATATGATCAGGCTGCCATCATACATCTGGAATATTGCTGAGTGGGGCGTTGACCAACCGAAACGTTCTTACCTGTCAGTAAACATTCTTGTGAACATTCAAGTACAGATAAGTATTTGAGAGATTCCATGTCAAATAATAGTATTTAGGTTATTATTTTGTTTTGTGTAATTCAATACAATAATGTTTAGAAATACATTTTTGCACACTGCTACAGACATAGTCACTGTTCTCCAAACAGTTTGAATGTGGCTTCAATATACTTATACTGACAGAAACAAATAAGGGAACACATGAAAGGACGAGTGTTCCTTTATTTTTTCCATGGTTTCTTCACAAGCTTTGTATCGCATAGCTTGTGAAGAAACCTGGAAAAAAGTCAGGGAACATGTGTGCTTTCATGTGATCCGTTATTTCTTTCCCTCAGTATATTACATAATATTTGGACTATTATAAATGATAATTGTGTCTTTTCTTGAATGCCAGGTACCGTGTCTCTCAGGGTTACCAAACTGAGTCTCTCTGTCAATCAGACTGTTACCATATACAGCGGGGTCATGGAGTACGGTGTGACCTTGGCAACATTTGACCTGACCAATATGGACCAGCAGCTGCCCAAGTTCAGTGCTCCAGCCAGCAAAGGCGTTGAGTAAGAACATTCAGACTTGTGTGAAGTTTTTGTGTGTACAATACATATATATATATATATACTGGTACATAGCTAGGAAACAGTGTATCATAGACACAGCTAGAAAACAGTGTATCATAGACACGGCTAGGAAACAGTGTATCATAGACACAGCTAGGAAACAGTGTATCATAGACACAGCTAGGAAACAGTGTATCATAGACACAGCTAGGAAACAGTATCATAGACACAGCTAGGAAACAGTGTATCATAGACACAGCTAGAAAACAGTGTATCATAGACACGGCTAGAAAACAGTGTCATAGACCTAGGAAACAGTGTATCATAGACACAGCTAGGAAACAGTGTATCATAGACACAGCTAGAAAACAGTATCATAGACACAGCTAGGAAACAGTGTATCATAGACACAGCTAGGAAACAGTGTATCATAGACACAGCTAGGAAAACAGTATCATAGACACAGCTAGGAAACAGTATCATAGACACAGCTAGGAAACAGTGTATCATAGACACAGCTAGGAAACAGTATCATAGACACAGCTAGAAAACAGACTATCATACACATAGGTAGGAAACAGGGTGTAAACACATAGCTAGTGAGCTATCATACACAAAGCTAGTAAATGGTACATTAAACACAGCTAGGAAACAGGTTATGGTAAACACATGTCTAGGAAACAGGTGTTAAACACATGGCTAGGAAACAGGTTGTGTTAAACATACGGATAGGAAACAGGTTGTGTTAAACATACGGATAGGAAACAGGTTGTGTTAAACATATGGCTAGGAAGGTGGTTGTGTTAAGCATGGCTAGGAAATAGGTGTTAAACACATGGCTAAGAAACAGGTTGTGTTAAACACAGCTAGGAAGTAGGTTGTGTTAAACATGGCTAGCAAACAGGTTGGGTTAAACTTCTGGCTAGCAAAAAAGGTTGTGTTAAACATATGGCTAGCAAACAGGTTGTGTTAAACATGGCTAGGAAACAAGTTGTGTTAAACATGACTAAGAAATAGGTTGTGTTAAACATGACTAGGAAACAGGTCGTGTTAAACACCTGACTGGGAAACAGGTTGTGTTAAACATGTTGCTAGCAAACAGGTTGTATTAAATATGGCTAAGAAACAGGTTGTGTTAAACACATGGCAGGAAACAAGGTGTAGTAAACACATGGCTAGGAAACAGGGTGTAGTAAACACATGGCTAGGAAACAGGGTGTAGTAAACACATGGCTAGGAAACAGGGTGTAGTAAACACATGGCTAGGAAACAGTGTAGTAAACACATGGCAGGAAACAAGGTGTAGTAAACACATGGCAGGAAACAGGGTGTAGTAAACACATGGCAGGAAACAGGGTGTAGTAAACACATGGCCAGGAAACAGAGTGTAGTAAACACATGGCAGGAAACAGGGTGTAGTAAAAACATGGCAGGAAACAGGGTGTAGTAAACATATGGCTAGGAAACAGGGTGTAGTAAAAACATGGCAGGAAACAAGGTGTAGTAAACATATGGCTTGGAAACAGGTGTTCAACATATGGCTAGCAAACAGGTTGTGTTAAACATGGCTAGGAAACAAGTTGTGTTAAACATGACTAAGAAATAGGTTGTGTTAAACATGGCTAGGAAACAGGTCATGTTAAACACCTGGCTGGGAAACAGGTTGTGTTAAACATGTGGCTAGCAAACAGGTTGTATTAAATATGGCTAAGAAACAGGTTGTGTTAAACACATGGCAGGAAACAAGGTGTAGTAAACACATGGCTAGGAAACAGGGTGTAGTAAACACATGGCTAGGAAACAGTGTAGTAAACACATGGCAGGAAACAAGGTGTAGTAAACACATGGCAGGAAACAGGGTGTAGTAAACACATGGCAGGAAACAGGGTGTAGTAAACACATGGCCAGGAAACAGAGTGTAGTAAACACATGGCAGGAAACAGGGTGTAGTGAACACATGGCAGGAAACAGGGTGTAGTAAACATATGGCTAGGAAACAGGGTGTAGTAAAAACATGGCAGGAAACAAGGTGTAGTAAACATATGGCTAGGAAACAGGGTGTAGTAAAAACATGGCAGGAAACAAGGTGTAGTTAACACATAGCTAGGAAATAGGGTATAGTAAACACATGGCCAGGAAACAGGGTGTAGTAAACATATGGCTAGGAAACAGGGTGTAGTAAAAACATGGCAGGAAACAAGGTGTAGTTAACACATAGCTAGGAAACAGGGTGTAGTAAACACATGGCTAGGAAATAGGGTATAGTAAACACATGGCCAGGAAACAGGGTGTAGTAAACACATGGTTAGTAAACAGCGTGAAATGTAGTGGCTGCTACACTTACGTTTGAATTAATTATTGTTTGGCTTGCAAATGAATGGATGGACAATTTGTTTGTTCTCAAAATTCACAATCTTGCACTGTATATTTCTTGGAACATATTTGACAAATATCTCATATAATTTTTATTTTCAAGAGCTAAGCTATAAGTAATCAAGCTATCATAATCCTTTTTGTCATTAGATTTTGAAAATACTTCATATCTTCAACTACCGAGCTATATAACATGTTTATTTAACAGACTGGTGTACAAGTCCAACAACACCTGCAAAAACTGTACTGCTCCAGTCGTCATGGCAACATATGCAGTGTCACAGGAAGGTGGGTACCCGGTAGATTACTGATGACAGGAGATGTGTTCAGAATACCTGTCATCCGTATCACCTGCACTATATTATGCAGATGAGTTATCATTCAAAATTCTGATGTGTTCTGTCAAAGAGAATATTTTAAACATAAATTAACACTGTTTATCATGATATTTGTGTGAACTTCCATTACCCCAAATGTAATGAGTTGTGATTCATGAAAAAACATGAAAAGAGTGGTCATTCAGTATGCTCATGATGTTGCTTCTTACTGCAGTGTGTGGAGGCCTGCTGACCAAGGCAGCTGGACAACTGACCAGCCCAGACTACCCCGGACTCTACCCCCTCAACTCGGACTGTGTCTGGGACGTCACCAACACCACCTCCAACACCACCACCAACACCACATCGTCACAGCTCTTCTATCTCTCCTTCAGTGCCTTGCAGCTAGGTCAAGGTCACTTTGTCAGAGTCAAGGACACAAATAATGGTACTTCACAGTTGCTGGCACAATATGGAGGGATGGTGAAGCCGAACGACATCATTGTGGCAGCAGAGTCAACCAGCGTGGAGTTCACTGCCAGATCGCCCAAGAAAGGCCCCTTCACCCCTGGACAAGGATTTGCAGCAAACTACTGGAAACTGGGTTTGTACATTCATTCTAGAATTCTTATTGTTTTAAAGTCCAAAGAATGTGTATTATCTATGTTTGATTGTTTTCAATGACATTAAATGGTACACTTGTAAGCTCACTGTCTGCATTAAATGGTACACTTGTAAGCTCACTGTCTGCATTAAATGGTACACTTGTAAGCTCACTGTCTGCATTATATGGTACACTTGTAAGCTCACTGTCTGCATTAAATGGTACACTTGTAAGCTCACTGTCTGCATTAAATGGTACACTTGTAAGCTCACTGTCTGCATTAAATGGTACACTTGTAAGCTCACTGTCTGCATTAAATGGTACACTTGTGAGCTCACTGTCTGCATTAAATGGTACACTTGTAAGCTCACTGTCTGCATTAAATGGTACACTTGTAAGCTCACTGTCTGCATTAAATGGTACACTTGTAAGCTCACTGTCTGCATTAAATGGTACACTTGTAAGCTCACTGTCTGCATTAAATGGTACACTTGTAAGCTCACTGTCTGCATTAAATGGTACACTTGTAAACTCACTGTCTGCATTAAATGGTACACTTGTAAGCTCACTGTCTGCATTAAATGGTACACTTGTAAGCTCACTGTCTGCATTTTGACTGATAGAAGGCTTTTAAGGAGCTGCCCAGTCTTGGTGTAAAGACAACTTCTTCAGTGTGGGGTGACGTTGATCCTTCGTGTCTCAGAAGCAAGTTTGGTTTAAGAAGTGTTTTCTTACATTTAGGATATGATGCTCTCTCAAATGTGTTGATGTTTTATGATAGAGGTGTGGGTTTGAGTGGAAATCATGAAGGCTAAAATACACTGACTCCACAGTTACTGCATGCGCTCCCCTGTATTTGTCCTTGGGTCCAGACTGTTGCGTGTAGGTGGACATTTAACTACACTGACTTGACAATCACTGCATCTTCTCCCCTGTGTTTCTCCTTGGGTCCAGACTGTCGCGTGTAGGTGGACATTTAGCTACACTGACTTGACAATCACTGCATCTTCCCCCTGTGTTTGTCCTTGGGTCCAGACTGTTATGCGTGTAGGTGGACATTTAGCTACACTGACTTGACAATCACTGCATCTTCTCCCCTGTGTTTGTCCTTGGGTCCAGACTGTCGCGTGTAGGTGGACATTTAACTACACTGACTTGACAATCACTGCATCTTCCCCTGTGTTTGTCCTTGGGTCCAGACTGTCGCTGGAGGTGGACATTTAACTACACTGACTCGACAATTACTGCATCTTCCCCTGTGTTTGTCCTTGGGTCCAGACTGTCGCGTGTAGGTGGACATTTAGCTACACTGACTTGACAATCACTGCATCTTCCCCTGTGTTTGTCCTTGGGTCCAGACTGTTGTTAGCGTGTAGGTGGACATTTAGCTACACTGACTTGACAATCACTGCATCTTCTCCCCTGTGTTTGTCCTTGGTTCCAGACTGTCGCTGGAGGTGGACATTTAACTACACTGACTTGACAATTACTGCATCTTCTCCCCTGTGTTGTCCTTGGGTCCAGACTGTCGCGTGTAGGTGGACATTTAACTACACTGACTTCGACAATTACTGCATCTTCCCCCCTGTGTTTGTCCTTGGGTCCAGACTGTCGCGTGTAGGTGGACATTTAGCTACACTGACTTGACAATCACTGCATCTTCTCCCCTGTGTTTCTCCTTGGGTCCAGACTGTCGCGTGTAGTTGGATATTTAGCTACACTGACTTGACAATTACTGCATCTTCCCCCCTGTGTTTCTCCTTGGGTCCAGACTGTCGCGTGTAGGTGGACATTTAGCTACACTGACTTGACAATCACTGCATCTTCATCACAGCGTTTGTCTGTCCTTGGTTCCAGACTGTGGGGGAAACTTCACCACAAGCTCCTCAACTGGGCAGTTCCATAGTCCAGGCTACCCCAAACCTGTCGCGAAAAGCTCACTGTGTGTGTGGATTGTAGAGTTACCTGCCCATGGGAACAACAGCACTGTGCGCAACTCGGTTCAGTTCAAGTTGACAGTCACAAGCACAGACAAGAAGCAGCTGTAAGTTCATGGTCACTGACCTGTCTACTCAGTTTACAGTTTACATCAGTTTAGTACATCAAGATACTTGGTCCACATTAGGTTTTTGACTTGCTTTGCTCTTATGCCTGTCCATTAGCTTGAATGTGACAGTCTAAGTGACATGTTGTGAATCATGCAGTCCATGTGACATGTTGTGAATCATGCAGTCCAAGTGACATGTTGTGAATCATGCAGTCCAAGTGACATGTTGTGAATCATGCAGTCCATGTGACATGTTGTGAATCATGCAGTCCAATGTGACATGTTGTGAATCATGCAGTCCAGTGTGACATGTTGTGAATCATGCAGTCCAAGTGTGACATGTTGTGAATCATGCAGTCCAAGTGACATGATGCAGTCCATGTGACATGTTGTGAATCATGCAGTCCATGTGACATGTTGTGAATCATGCAGTCCAAGTGACATGTTGTGAATCATGCAGTCCAAGTGACATGTTGTGAATCATGCAGTCCAAGTGACATGTTGTGAATCATGCAGTCCATGTGACATGTTGTGAATCATGCAGTCCATGTGACATGTGTGACATGTTGTGAATCATGCAGTCCATGTGACATGTTGTGAATCATGCAGTCCATGTTGTGAATCATGCAGTCAAAGTGACATGTTGTGAATCATGCAGTCCAAGTGACATGTTGTGAATCATGCAGTCCAGTCCATGTGACATGTTGTGAATCATGCAGTCCATGTGACATGTGACATGTCAATCATGCAATCATGCACCCATGTGACATGTTGTGAATCATGCAGTCCATGTGACATGTTGTGAATCATGCAGTCCATGTGACATGTTGTGAATCATGCAGTCCATGTGACATGTTGTGAATCATGCAGTCATGTGACATGTTGTGAATCCATGTGACATGTTGTGAATCATGAGTCCATCATGTTGTGAATCATGCAGTCCATGTGACATGTTGTGAATCATGCAGTCCATGTGACATGTTGTGAATCATGCAGTCCATGTGACATGTTGTGAGTCATGCAGTCCAAGTGACATGTTGTGAATCATGCACTCCATGTGATGTGTGAATCATGCAGTCCATGTGACGTGTGAATCATGCAGTCAGTGACATGTGTGAATCATGCAGTCAAGTGACATGTTGTGAATCATGCAGTCCATGTGACATGTTGTGAATCATGCAGTCCATGTGACATGTTGTGAATCATGCAGTCCATGTGACATGTTGTGAATCATGCAGTCCATGTGACATGTTGTGAATCATGCAGTCCATGTGACGTGTGAATCATGCAGTCCATGTGACGTGTTGTGAATCATGCAGTCCATGTGACATGTTGTGAATCATGCAGTCCATGTGACGTGTGAATCATGCAGTCCATGTGACGTGTGAATCATGCAGTCCATGTGACATGTGAATCATGCAGTCCAAGTGACATGTGAATCATGCAGTCCATGTGACGTGTGAATCATGCAGTCCATGTGACGTCTGAATCATGCAGTCGATGTGACATGTTGTGAGCCATGCAGTCCATGTGACGTGTGAATCATGCTGTCCATGTGACTTGTGAATCATGATGAAGTCCGTGTGACATGTGAATACTGCAGTCCATGTGACGTGTGAATCATGCTGTCCATGTGACGTGTGAATCATGCAGCCCATGTGACTGTATCATGTATGAATGCCTTCAGTGACATGTGAATCATGCAGTCCATGTGACTGTATCATGTATGAATGCCTTCAGTGACATGTGAATCATGCAGTCCATGTGACGTGTGAATCATGCAGTCCATGTGACGTGTGAACGTGTGAATCATGCAGTCAATGTGACGTGTGAATCATGCAGTCAATGTGACGTGTGAATCATGCAGTTAATGTGACGTGTGAATCATGCAGTCAGTGTGACGTGTGAAGACCATTTCTGGTTCTCTTCCCCCCCCCCCGAAGATATTACTGGTATATTGCTAAAAGCGGCGAAAAACTAAACTCAATCACTCACTCACTCACTCTACAGTGTGATGCTGCCTGTATGTACAGTCTGTTGTACACACTCAATTTAAATTGTGAATGTTAGAATTGTTGTCCACACTTTTGGAAATGCCTTGTTTCAACAGTGATTTGCTGGCCATCCATGACGGAGGGTCCATTAGCAACCCGCTGTTGCCAGTTGTGTTCAAGAAGACTCAGACTGGAAATATCATTGCCCGCACCAACACCATCCTAGTGATGTACAACTACACTGCTACCAAAGCCCAGGACGGAACCGGAATGGGATTCTCTCTTGACTTCAGTGCCTTCAGTAAGTAGAACACAGAGCATTGCGTCAGACCTAGGTTGTACGTAGGATGGTATAGGGTCTGGATACTCTCACCTTCAGTAAGTAGAACACAGAGCATTGCGTCAGACCTAGGTTGTACGTAGGATGGAATAGGGTCTGGATACTCTCACCTTCAGTAAGTAGAACAGAGAGCATTGCGTCCAGACCTAGGTTATGCAACCCTAGGATGGAATAGGGTCTGGATACTCTCACCTTCAGTAAGTAGAACACAGAGCATTGCGTCAGACCTAGGTTGTAAGTAGGATGGAATAGGGTCTGGATACTCTCACCTTCAGTAAGTAGAACACAGAGCATTGCGTCAGACCTAGGTTGTACGTAGGATGGAATAGGGTCTGGATACTCTCACCTTCAGTAAGTAGAACACAGAGCATTAAGGCCAGACCTAGGTTGTAATGCATTAGGATGGAATAGGGTCTGGATACTCTCACCTTCAGTAAGTAGAACACAGAGCATTGCGTCAGACCTAGGTTGTACGTAGGATGGAATAGGGTCTGGATACTCTCACCTTCAGTAAGTAGAACACAGAGCATTGCGTCAGACCTAGGTTGTACGTAGGATGGAATAGGGTCTGGATACTCTCACCTCCAGTAAGTAGAACACAGAGCATTGCGTCAGACCTAGGTTGTACGTAGGATGGAATAGGGTCTGGATACTCTCACCTTCAGTAAGTAGAACACAGAGCATTGCGTCAGACCTAGGTTGTACGTAGGATGGAATAGGGTCTGGATACTCTCACCTTCAGTAAGTAGAACACAGAGCATTAAAGTCCAGACCTAGGTTGTGGAATAGGGTCTGGATACTCTCACCTAGGATGGAATAGGGTCTGGATACTCTCACCTTCAGTAAGTAGAACACAGAGCATTGCGTCAGACCTAGGTTGTACGTAGGATGGAATAGGGTCTGGATACTCTCACCTTCAGTAAGTAGAACACAGAGCATTGCGTCAGACCTAGGTTGTACGTAGGATGGAATAGGGTCTGGATACTCTCACCTTCAGTAAGTAGAACACAGAGCATTGCGTCAGACCTAGGTTGTACGTAGGATGGAATAGGGTCTGGATACTCTCACCTTCAGTAAGTAGAACACAGAGCATTCAAGTCAGACCTAGGTTATAATGTAGGGATGGAATAGGGTCTGGATACTCTCACCTTCAGTAAGTAGAACACAGAGCATTGCGTCAGACCTAGGTTGTACGTAGGATGGAATAGGGTCTGGATACTCTCACCTTCAGTAAGTAGAACACAGAGCATTGCGTCAGACCTAGGTTGTACGTAGGATGGAATAGGGTCTGGATACTCTCACCTTCAGTAAGTAGAACACAGAGCATTGCGTCCAGACCTAGGTTATAATGTAGGATGGAATAGGGTCTGGATACTCTCACCTTCAGTAAGTAGAACACAGAGCATTGCGTCAGACCTAGGTTGTAATGAGGATGGAATAGGGTCTGGATACTCTCACCTCCAGTAAGTCAGGTTGTAGCAGAAGTGGGATACAGAGCAATAAACAATGTCCAGACCTGGGTTTTAATGCACAGAATATTCTGTCATGAGAAGGATGGAATAGGGTCTGGATAACTCTCACCTTCAGTAAGTAGAACACAGAGCATTAGGCCAGACCCAGGGTTAATCACGTAGGGATGGTATAGGGTCTGGATACTCTCACCTTCAGTAAGTAGAACACCAGACTCCAGCGTCAGACCTAGGGGTTGCAGGATGGAATAGGGTCCGTTTACTCTCACCTTCAGTAGGATAGAACAGAGAATAGGCGTCAGACCTAGGATTTATGCATCAGTAGAGATGGAACCAGGGTCTGCATAAGTAGACCTTAAGTAATATGAACACTCACCGGCATTGGAATACAGACCTATAGACCTATGTTTAGGATGGAATAGGGTCTGGATACTCTCACCTTCAGTAAGTAGAACACAGAGCATTGCGTCAGACCTAGGTTTGTACGGTAGGATGGAATAGGGGTCTGGAGACCTTCAGTAAGTAGAACACAGAGCATTAAGCCAGACCTAGAATTGTAACGGGATGGAATAGGGTCTGGATACTCACACCTTCAGTAAGTAGAACACAGAGCATTCGTCAGACCTAGGTTATGCATTAGGATGGTATAGGGTCTGGATACTCTCACCTTCAGTAAGTAGAACACAGAGCATTGCGTCAGACCTAGGTTGTACGTAGGATGGACTAGGGTCTGGATACTCTCACCTTCAGTAAGTAGAACACAGAGCATTGCATCAGACCTAGGTTGTACGTAGGATGGACTAGGGTCTGGATACTCTCACCTCCAGTAAGTAGAACACAGAGCATTGCGTCAGACCTAGGTTGTACATAGGATGGTATAGGGTGTGGATACTCTCACCTCCAGTAAGAATACCGAGTATTGCAACATACCTAGGTTTTACTCTAGTCATCAGACAGATGTATAGCTAGGAAACACAGATACAGATACATAGTCACCTGACAAAACCTACAAAGCTACAAAGCAAGGTGCAGGCACGGCTATGTTGGGGTCTGGGAGATAGTCGCCACCACAGACATGGTACATCTTTACACCTAGCACTGTGTGTGTTCCAGGTTGCAACAGGAGCCGGCAGTGCGGTGGGGACGGAATCTGCATCCACCCAGACTGGGTGTGTAACGGAGTGGACGACTGCGGGGACATGACAGATGAGAGGAACTGTAACGGCACCGGCCCTGCTGACCGCTCTGGTCTGGGTGAGTAGCAGGATATCGCGATTTCTTTTCAGGTAACTGGTCCCGCTAGTAGAACAGAGCCAGTGTTGGCATACATTGTCTGACACAATTCCATTTCCAAGTCTTTCATAAGGGTAGCCTAGACCCGGGTTTGATTCCCCACATGGGTAAAATGTGTGAAGCCCATTTCTGGTGTCCCCAGCCGTGATATTGCTGGAATATTGCTAAAAGAGGCGTAAAACCATACTTACTCTCTCATAAGCATTAATGCAGCCTATTTTTGTCTGTTGCAATAAGGTTCTTACCTAAGGTTGCACTGGGGGCAAGTTGGTTTCATCTCCTGAAATCAAACTCTGATCTAATACCATAGGCCAACACCATACTCTGTGAACTCCTAAGTTAACTAACAGCAACTGAAAGCAGGTCATCAGATGTGTAGATAAAAGTGAATAAACATGTCTGTGTATGAGTTTTAATGCAGAATATTCCTGAACTGCAGTAAGTTTAGAAGGCAACAGAAATACATGCTAATACTGAATCTTTAAATAAACAGGACAGTTGATCATGCTGTTTACTTGAAGTGATATTTGTAGGTAGATGCTACATCTTCTGCAGGCTTTGCCTATGAAATAATCGACATGCTGGGTAATATTTGAGGTTGTATGTTGCAGTGCACTCGTACTGGGTACCCGTGTGTATCATCTTGGGGCTGCTGTTCGGGGTCATCCTGGCCTTCGTCATCCCCGCCATCTACCGCAGGATCAAGTACCCCAACTACAGCCAGCTGCGGGACCTCAGCGCCCCTGTCGTCACATAATCACCTTCACCTTCTGACCTTCACATTCTTGCAAGCTTTTCTCAGAAAATATTATTGCTTCAGCTGAGTGTTTACTTAGCACATTCACAGAGTATTGCTACCAAAGAATGAGATTTTCTTTAACTTAAAGATTAGTGATGAAGAGAGAACTGTTTCCTATGTTATTGTTTGCTTTACAGTTTTACGGTAGCTTACGTACTATTTTAATTCGTGTTAGCAACTACTGACAAATGGACATCAATGAATATTTTTACAACAGAAACAGATATCTTTTCAAGATGGATGGTATTTTTGTAGACCTGCTTTGTGTCAGTCTGTAATCGGTAGTGTGGAAGTCCTTTCACAGGTAGGTTATTTAAAACACAGTAGAGTTGATTCATGTTTGAACTAATATTGTTTTGGGTTGTTTTGCTAGTTTTTGTCTCATGTTGGCATGGTGGGTATTTCAGCCTTCCTAAACCTATGGTCTCCCTGGTAACAACACACGGAAGGTGCTTCATTATTAGATGAGCATTTCAGAAATGTTTGTTTCACATTGTGTACTCACCGTGTTGAGGTGCTGCCTGGATCAGTGTCATGACGGATACCACCCTAGCACATTGGCGGAGAGAGAGAGAAGGGGGTGGGGGTTTGGTGTGTGTTTGTTTTTTGAACCCCTGCCCTTTTTTAATTTTTTTTTTTTTTGGGGGTGGGTGGGGTGTGTGTGTTTGAAAATGACTTAAGACCACAGATTGAAGATTTGTTTGTGCGTTGGATCCGCCCATGCTAGCACCAGGCGAGGTGAATACACACTGTGAAACGCAACATCTTTCACTAGCAAAATGAAACCAGTGGTCGACGATGTTAGCATTCCAATGGTGGAAAGGCTTAAGAAATGTTAGTGTCATCATGCTGATGGATATATAAGCCTTGATAGCCACATTAGTGTAAACAGATTATCATAGACCAGTGGTACAGAGCGTGGTACCTGTTGACAAGGACAAGTTCAGTATTATGTCCATACAGATTGATGATACTTACTACCTACTTAAACATTCCATCAAGGATGTACACATTAGAATCTCGCTATTGTGAGTTTACATGCAGTTTGGTGTTGAGCGTGGGGAACTAACACCTGCAGTAAGTGTTGGAAGGAGATCTGTGGTTCTACATAGTATTGGGAAAATACTTTAGGTGTACTTATTTTGCAGATCATTTTTAAAGCATAGATCTGAGATAGTTGATCTCTTTTTGATGACATTTTTCATGGTCAGTAATTGATAGGTACAATTTGTATCGGCCTTTGGTAACTATTGGTGGTAGCTGTAGACGATAAAGACTGAAGATTCTGAAGTCTTCGTGTTTATTTTATATGTTGGTAAGGAATATACTCCTAGGTCAAATGTAGAGATAGTATGTATCAGGTAATATGACCCACCAGGCCGTATGACCCACACTGCATATCTTGACCATGTTGAACAACACCAGTGCTTGTGACTATTCGTTAGTCCAGGGTTAATATTCAGGCAGTTGTTTGTGGACATTAGTACTGTGTGGGTCAAGCAGTGTTGTAAACCGTGTTTGTTTTTAGTAACCTGATACATTCTGCGGCTAGTTCCATATTTCCTGAGATTTGGAGGTGTCATACTAATTATACTTGATAACACTGTTACTGCTACTGAGAGATCTTAAAAGATAGGGACTTTTCTATCGTTTGGCCTAGGACTAAATAGTAGCATTGAGTCTGGGTTTTGAAGAGCATTGCTCAGTTTGATTTTCAAGAGAATAGCGTTGTTAGTGTTTTCATAGGAATACCAGTAAGATTGGTTCATGTCTGATGTGTGTGATGTGCCTCAGTTGGGACTCTCAGACTTGTGGTATGGTACTGTGTGGACTGTTTAACATTTTCCAGCTTGGAGTCATCCAGGAAGTTAAAAAGATTCAGTGTTGGAATCTATCACCATGGCAACATATATTTCAGGATATTTAGACAAGAGTTTTACCCAAGTTGGATTTATCAGGACATGCAGGTAGAAATGTGGAATACTTTTGAAGACATTTTGAAGACCTGTTGAGAGTTCTCAGAGTGTGTAAGGCATCCATTCTTGCTCAAAACATAGGTGTGTCAGAAAACATCTTGTGCTCCTTGCTCCTACATATTATAGATGGAGTCAACTCCAGGTAACTCCAACATGGGCGTCTATGTGATACATGTACACTGTCTCTTCCATATCTCCATTAGCTATGGCATATTTAGTCACATGTGTTATGAAATTTGTTTCTGATTGTACTCCGGGGGATGAAGCAGACCTGTTGTCTTATTAACAAATAGTTCAGTTTTTGAAGAATATTCACAGGTATTTTTCTCAAGAACCACTTAAACCAGAGAGTCCTTGGTGTGTTCATTATTGTTATACAATGTAGTCATTCTTCTCCAATGCTTATGTTCTGATGACCAAGTGCACGCTTCAAGATTTTAGCAAGAGTTTTCTTGTGATATTTTACAGAGGTTTATATCTCCTAATAACTTTGATTTTGTTTTGTTTCAATGACTTTTTAACCCAAATGTTAGTCAGTTAATCTTTTAAAAGCATAATATGCCTTGTCTGAAATGGTTGTTTTAGATCACATGGTGATGTAAAACTGTACGGATGACATGAAATATATACACACCGAAATGATCAGCACAACTCCTTTATTGGCATACATTCCAAACTGGTAACCATGGAAACATCTACAGTGACCACAGTTTAACAATGTCCAAACTAGCCCAGACTCCTGTGACAACTTGGCAAGGGAACTGAATATTGTTCATAATCTATAGAAACAATGGTTCACAGGTTCTTAAGACACAAGAGACCATTGAGAGGGTAGTCAAATAACTGTTGGTCAGGAGATGAAGTTTCGGTTTCTGAATTTTAGTATATTATATGCCACTTTATGTACGAAAATAAAAAGAAATTTTAAATCCTTATCTGATCTGAAATTAAAAGTTGGTGATGCTCAATGTTTTCCAAGGTGTATATTTCCGATTGTGTTCAGGATATCTGAGAGAAACGTTGTTGCTTTTGAATTTTGTTTAATGCACACCGAATTGAATCAAGTGTGTGTTTACTTGTTGCTTCATCGCATTTATGATTATCAGTTGTTCCGTGAAGCTTGTCTTGTGTTGCATCAAGCACCGTATGTTATGGACGTGTATTCAAGGGTATTCCTTCCTAGATTGGGTGTGGTTATTTGTCAATACCCCAATGATACAGCTATTTTCTGATTGGTCAAGCGCTTATTTCACCACTGCACCGCAGTTCATCCATATTGTCTCATGTTTGCACAACTGTAACTTCAGCTTTTGTTGGGGATTATGAGAAACTGCATACAGCAAGACCCTTGTAATCTGGACTACAACAAACTGTCTGGATCTGTACAATCTGTCACTTACATGGCTACATTTTCATGAACCAGGGCAGTCGAAGTGGAAGTGCTTGCTATTAAACATTTAGTGTTTCCCCTAGGCATTTTTAGCAGGGCGCTGAGCGGTGGGGTAGCCCAGTGGTTAAAGCGTTCACTCTCCATGCCGCAGACCTGGGTTTGATTCCCCACATGGGCAAAATGTGTGAAGCCTATTTCTGGCCGTGATATTGCTGGAATATTGCTAACAGCATCATAACACCAAACTCAGTCTGTCAGTTCACCAGGGCGCAGCACCCTGCCCTTTTTATTTGGCACCCTGTGTTTCTTTTAGTACAATAATATATATTAACCCATGGTTGTTTTTATTTTCTATTTTATGTTAAGTTTAGTGAAATAACTGTGGGTTTTTTTAGCCTTTAAGAATCATATGCATGAATGATTTGACATAATACTTGGAAATCTGTTATGGTATGCTGTTTTTGGTATAGGGGTGTCCCGTTTGAAATTCTGTCACCCTGCCCTTTTTGGACCCTTCGGGAAACTCTAACATGTATGTTCCGGTTATGGTCAAGCCAACTTCCTTTTAGACATTCAATATTTAGGGTCGCTTTGAATTCATCACCATGGACAGCAGCCTCAGATCCCTGGCACCGCCTTCACGTCTGACATTGAGGTGCATGATAAACACTTTATGACAGCATCAGTTGGAGTGTTATGAAGGGTTTGGTATAATTTGAGACACCATCAAGGAGTCACCAGTTACCAGGACACCACCATTGTAGTTGTCTAGGTAAACAGGATTCCAGAGTGGTTTTAATAATTCCTTGAATTATGTACAATTAGCTTCTGTGTTATGGCATGTGGACAGTTGATAATGGAGAGAGTTATCTCAGATGCTGATTATCATTATTGTATATTTTGATAACATAAATAAACATTGATTATCATAACACAAGACTTTATCCTTTTTGTGTCCCAAACTTGGATGTCTAGATGGAGGTCAAAATCGTTCACTTGTAAAATGTTTTCTTTGGATGAAAACTCGACCCATTCGTGAAAAGCTTTTCATGACGTTTGACAAAATGAATATTCAAGAAAAATACAGTACTTTTCGTGTACAGGAGGCAATGGTTTGTAAAGTAGGAGTGAGAACAGTTCCTTCCTTTTATAGTCTGTTTGCGGTGAAAACGTACCGATGAATTTCACTTTAAACAAAAAAGTAAATCAAATAAAGTGAAATTAAGATTGCAAATCCTCATAATTTTAATTTAAATCTCAGAATTTTATTCAGCTTAGGATAAAAGTTGTTTAACAAACGATCATAGTTTCAAATCGGTATTATTGGTTTGTATTACAAGGGGGTATGCACATAAAATCAAACCCTGAGAACAAGGAGGGTTGGTCTAAGTTAACGCTGGTCACGTACCGCACGTGCATTTGTTTCACTGTTCCAACTACTACGCTTACCCCCTTGTAATGCAACCCAATATAAGCGATTTGAATCTATGATCGTTTGTTAAACACCTTTTTTCCGACGTAGAATAAAAATCTAAGACTTAAATTTTCAATTGGCAAGGTAGAATTATGAGGATTCGCAATCTTAATTTCACTTTATTCGATTTACATTTTTGTTTAAAGTGAAATTTACCGGTACGTTTTCACTGCAAACAGACTATAGTACAGAAGCACATTGGTCGATCTGGAGTGAAAACAGAATTAGATTCAACCAGCACCTTATTACTCATTCGTAAAATGATTATATTCATCCTCTGGTCCATTTTAGGGGACCTGTGAAGAGATCCGCATTAGAAATTGTCTTCAGTAACCCATGCTTACAGAGTTGCAGAAACCGCGTAAAAAATTCACGGAGTTCTGTCACTTATCATGATTTCGAATTGTAAGGTGTTACGCCCAAAGGTCCACTCATCACATTTAACATAGACTACGTGATCAAGGTTAAAAACTGACACGTTGTGTACATGATATAAGCATCTTAAGGTACAAACAAGCGGTGCACAGTCGAAAAGGTACCTGACTGAATATACTGGATATGTGTTAAGGTATAGTGTGTGTGTGTCTGTGTGTCTAAGTTCACTTTATGTCGTACATAATATGGTGATGTGCGGAAACTCAGTGTTCCGAGGCACAAACAAATATTACCAACCAACTTCGCGAGCTCTCAATATACCACTGTATTCGACACATATTGTTGGTACTATTGTGTTAAGGCCTGCACCAACATCATTTTATGGGTAGCGTTTAAGCTTTTAAAGAATAAACACATTTGAAACATTCATTTCAAAGAACGTGTTTACAGTTTATTTCTTGCACAGAGTTTGTTGAACCAATTTGTCTATACAAAATTACCCAGTTAAGGATTGCTGTTACAACCTGTTCCAAGAATGAGTGCTGCTCAAAGAGACATAGTCACATGTGACAACAGATATTTCGATTTTCAGTGACAAAACACAAACTGGGTATGCTTTGATGGAATCCAGGACAAAATCCACCCGGACAAAATCCACCCGGACAAGATCCACCCCAAAATTGCAACCTAGGACAAAATCCACCCGGACAAAATCCACCCCAAAATTGCAACCTAGGACAAAATCCACCCGGATAAAATCCACCCAAAAAAATTGCAACCTAGGACAAAATCCACCCTGACAAAATCCACCCCGGACTAAGGATTGTATCTTACGCCACGTACTTTGGGTGAGATGATAGAAACACCCATGAACATTTACATGAGAACTTAACACAGCAGATACAGCATTGATGGCAGCCAACTCAAAGTTTGGTACAATAACAGAAGGATCTGGTTCGAAACCGAGTTCGCTACATTGATCTACAACTGCTTGAAGTACTTCTTGGTAGCTAGTTTGAGTCTTATCGCACAGGAGGGCATACACACAACTAACAGCACTATCCCCAAGGGGAGCACGGATCACATACAGTTGAGTGAAGAGGTTGGGAGCAGCATCGAAGGTACCGTCCATAAACCAGGTGTCTGCTGATGCCAGGTGTTGCAGGGTGGTGTCGGAGGCAATTTGAGAAGGGTGGATTTTGTGCATTTTTTTGTTAAGAAGAGGTGGATTTTGTCCATGGTGGCAATTTTGGGGGTGGATTTTGTCCGGTCACCGCTTTGAGGTGCTCCCCAGTATACCGGCAGCATGCATCGCGTGACCAAGAACTAAAATAGTTGATTGTTGTTTAACTCATCAAGTTTCCAACTGTTTGACAGTAGTCTGTAAGTAATTGAGCCAGATAATCCAGTGATTGACATCGTGAGCACCGGTCTACGAAATTGGCATTTGATGACACGTGTCAACCAGGTAAGCGAGCCTGACCGCCCGATCCCATTAGTCGCCTCTTAGGAAAGCATGGGTTACTGAATACCGGATCTTCAATTGTGAACAACAAGTACAGAAGAAACAAAGAAAATTATGTTTTGCATATGAAGCTTTTTATTTATCGACAAGTAAACTACGTCTATGTTTGTAATGATAAAAATATAAAGTAACGTCACAAAACACATAAGAGGTGTACGGCAGTATACCTACTTTATACTTACACGAACACAGACGGGGTTTAAAGAGCGACTGTATGTTTTTACATGTATGATATAAGTGCTATTTAGCACAATTGTTCTTTATCTGTGAATTTATAAATGCACGCACAGTTTGATATTTTGTGGGGGAAATTTGATAAAAATTAACAACCACGCCACAGACACTCTTAAGCTATAATTGTGTCTTTACATGAACGAGGAATATGTTCCCTGATAAAGTTATCAGGTATGTGTATGAGCATGATAGCTCAACCGCCCTCCAGGTAGAGAGATTTAAACAGACCAGGGGGTCCTTTCACGAAGCAACCTTTACTAAGGTTAACCTTAACTCCCATTCTTTAACATTGGACTAAGGTTACCTTAGTGACTTACGATCACCTTAGTGCTTTGTGAAAGGAGGCCCAGGAAGTTAATCCACTTAGTTCTGATAACCACCTAAGCACTATCGTGAGTTGCGCTCCTATAATAATGATCACAGATACACCCCTGAATTAAAACTTAGTCTCTGACAAATACACAATTCTGAAAGAAACAAATAATTTCATTTACAGTTAAGCACCCCTGTGTCAAAAACTTTGATATTTTGAAAATACAGTTGTCTCAAAATAACTATTTGGCTCCGACAAATTCCTTCTTTGTTGATCCTTTTTTCGGTTGAGTCGAACATCGCATAACTCGAAGTATTTTCTTAGGTGCCTTCAACTTCGACACAACGGTATTTTTAATTCGAAAAGGAGCCCCGATGAGATGGTAGACTCAGCACTCCAACCTGGTTGAATCTAGACTTGCTTTATTTAGGGCTTTTTGCATTCGACAGTGCTGAGTGAATGGGGTTTTTAATACTGTATGACTGTGAGACAGACAAATATAACAAATATTTGATTTTGACTTACTGTAAGAATATGACGCACAGCAATGACATTCATTTCGTGCACTTTCATGATATGTTTGTATTTGTATAAACATTCCTGGTTATAAATGGTTTATTCTCTTACAAGCAACGGATTACATAGCAGGTTACCAAGCCAGGGAAATTCCTTACAATCCATGCCATGGTAACAAGATTAAGATCCCGCCAAATATAAACAGCGAGTGGATACGATGAGATCACGTGACAAGTCGGTACAGACTTCCGCTACGTCACAACGATGAAAAATAAAATTTCGTTTATGAAACATTTACATATGAATTCTTAGTGCACGATAAACAGGTGTCAAACAATAATATAAAATAGATTGAGCTGGCAAAGCTATCGGCTGCACTTGTTGGGTTTTTAAGGAACACTGTCAGCAACCGGTATATCAACAATAATTATGCGAAATATAAAGTTTTTTAAAAATATATATTTATTTTTCTTTTATGGTTAAGCAAGAGTCTGTGGAGTCAATGATATTATACTCATTTGATGTGGAATCATAACGGAATTATCTAACAGAATGCTCAGTAGTATATTATTTTGTTCTGCTTGCACAGATTTACTGATATCACATTCCGTTTTATCACCATGGCAACCTTTTCAAAGTTCGGAACATGTTACAGACAAACTCGATACATTTCATCCTAATTGTTCATCTCTGTATAATGAAAATGTTATAAATCCATCTTTACATATCATGTCACTGCAGAGGAAATTGGTACAACATATTTTTATAATGAATCCACCATTGCCATTTCTGTTGGTTTTTGTTCTCTTTGATAAACTGTTGTTCGGCTTGACAGTTTCACCTGTGCTGTGTGTGTGAGTACATGATCATTGTCAATGGTTCTCTGTGGCGATGAACCATTAAACCCTCAAAACTGAGGGTACCTTTTCAGATCCAGTTATCATCATACGAGGACCTATGTGGCCGCTAGGTTTACCAGCCATACGGTGTGATTAGTTATCCTGACAGCACTATACTAGTATTATAACATTGACTATTATTGCTAACAACACATTGTAAGGCCACAGATCGTGAACGTCGTGTAACAGATGGTTACAGGTGTAACTGATAGAGAAGGATAACCATGTTACAGGTACCACTGTAACTAACAACACTGTATATAAACGAAGTGTCTCAGGAGATAATAGGTGGCAACCAGTATTAACAAAACATCGTAACAAACACTAACGTCATTCTCCTTCAGGCTAAAGAACAGGGCGTATGATCTTGCCTACAGCAGTCAGTTGTTCGTGTTTGACGATCAGTGCCCTGTAGTTTAGAAGTCCCCCCACCCCACCCCTGCATCTAAACTGTGTTCAAGCTTGAACCATCTACACCAGCTTCCCGTCAGGGTCATTCTTTGCGATACAGCAGGCAACGATTATCAGGATGAGCTGCAAGATAACACACGGGAATTGTTATCATTGTTAAGTCGTCCGAGAAACGTCTATATACACAAGTCACAAAATATTGACTGAATTATCTCAGCTACACTATCTACATCCGGAATATTATCTACACAGGGTATATTACCTATACTGGATATATTATCTACACAGGATATATTATCCATCAACTATCTACACAGGATATATTATCTGTCAACTATTTGCACAGGATATGTTATCTATCAACTATCTATACAGGATATATTATCTACACAGGATATATTATCTATCAACTATCTACACAGGACTGACTGACTGACTGAGTTTGGTTTTACGCCGCTTTTAGCAATATTCCAGCAACATCACGGCGGGGGACACCAGAAATGGGCTTCACACATTGTGCCCATGTGGGGATTCGAACCCGGGTCTTCGGCGTGACGAGCCAACGCTTTAACCATTAGGCTACCCCACCGCCCCATATACACAGGATATATTATCTATCAACTATCTGCACTGGATATGTTATCTATCAACTATCTATACAGGATATATTATCTACACAGGATATATTATCTATCAACTATCTACACAGGATATATTATCTAACAACTATCTACACAGGATATAATATCTATCAACTATCTGCACAGGATATATTATCGACATGGGATATATTATCTATCAACTATGTACACAGGTTATATTCTCAACACAAGGACTCTATCCTTACCTCTAATACGGCAACCCCGATGGCTACGCCCAACACACCAGCGAAATAGGTTTTTGCCAGATCCCTCAACTTGTCATAGCAACCCTGTAACGTAAAATAGTACAAATCTTCAAAACATTCAACAGAAAGTAGACAGTGGAAATATATAGTAGAACATATCAGTCTGAAGAGGAAGAGCAAGCGTCTGACAGACACATTGGTACTTTATGCTTCTTTCCTTGGAATTTGCATACGAAATGTTCAGTTCTGGAATCGCCGAGCTAGGGTTTGTTTTCGTCATTTCTATGAACTTTTTATTGTATTGTGTCAACATGCATTGGAGCCATTCCCAAACTAGTCGAAAGCAGACATTCGTCTTTCGGTATCTCACGAGGAAACTTTTCTGGAATGACAATTGTGATTTAGTAAGTCCATCAATTTACAGACACTGGTGTTTATATGTGGTACCCGTGAAGATCCGGGTTAGAATGTATCTTCAGTAACCCATGCTTGTCGTAAGAGGCGACTAACGAGATCGGGTGGTCAGGTTCGCTGACTTGGTTGACACATGTCATCGTATCCCAATTACGTAGATCGATGCTTATGATGCTGATCACCGGATTGTCTGGTCCAGGCTCGATTATTTACAGACCGCCGCCATATAGCTGGAATATTTCTGAGTCAGGGGTAAGATAAACTCACTCATATGTGGCAGACCAACTTTTGCGACAAAGGTCACGTCGGTAGAAAAGCAAACGACTTGACGTGGCAGGAGTGATCACGAATGGCGTGAATTAGGGACTTTTGTTTGACGCTGCCTTGAACAGTATTTCAGTGATATCAAGGCGTGTCTGCTAAATGTGGGAGGAAAGCCCGAAGTCATGCAGGTCTTACCAGGGACAACAATACATCACTGCCAACCTGGATCTGTCACGACAAGCTTGTATGAACTGCTTGTAAGAGCAGGAACGGCAATACCAGAATGACAGTTTCCAACAGTTTTTGTCTAAACTGCCGGGGAAACAGAAAGTACACATCCTGGTTTGGTGGTTAATAAAAGAGGAAATGATATAATCATCGCTATGAGACTTTCTTTCCCTACAATCTGTTTCTTTCCCTACAATCTGTTTCTTTCCCTACAATCTGTTTCTTTCCCTACAATCTGTTTCTTTCCCTACAATCTGTTTCTTTCCCTACAATCTGTTTCTTTTCCTACAATCTGTTTCTTTCCCTACAATCTGTTTCTTTCCCTACAATCTGTGTTTCTTCCCTACCTGTTTCTTTCCCTACAATCTGTTTCTGTCCGTACGTTGCTTTGTTCTTTCCCTAGATGCTGTTTCTGTCCGTACGTTGCTGTGTTCCAGATGCTGTTTTCTGCCTAGTAACGTTTTGATAACGTTTGCAATATATTTGTCAATGTATACCTTCTTTTTCCCTGTAGTGTATTTCCAGAAACCATAGGAACATACCTCTTTGTAACCCTTAGCCTCCATAAGCGGGCAGTCTTGGTCCAGTAGGCCGCTGATGTAGTCTTCCATTTTGTCGGGGAATGAGTCCTTCATGCCAGACTCACAGCAGGTAAATGGAATCTTGGCGTTGTTTAGGCCTTTCCATGTTTTGTTGAAGTTAGGGTAACTGGCAAAGTCATTCGGGCCGTTAACGCCACAACATCCTTGCTGTAGAAAGGAAAGTAAAATCATACGTGACATGTTCATACTAGCAATGACAAATACACTGGCCCAGTGGCCAGTTACTAGTGAAGCAGACATCCGGAGCAGTGCTTAAGCTTCTAAAATTAAAATGGCTCTTATTTGTAAAAATATAATATGTTGGCTTCCGTGTAGGGTTGATTTTGACAAGAAAAGAAGCACAGACATTTGAAGAGTATTCGTATATTTAGATACACATATAATCTTTTAGATGTCCGGCAGAATTCTCTGACAAGTGGGATATATATATCGTCAGTGGGGGTTCCGCCATAATACCAAGACACCCTTCCCCTTCCGGTATCCCATGGTTGGCGTGTATAGTGACTGCAGGTATTAAACGACATAATTTAATGCAAGTCCACCAGTGGCTTGGATGTTCCTGATGTCAATCACTAGGTTGTCTGGTGAAAACTCACGATTCAAGATTATTGACAGATCATCGTCAGTTATCAGGAACAATTATCTTTGATACCGACTACATTGGTTCCAGACCAAAGTACATATTTCAATCCACGATGAGCGTTGTCTAAGTATTTGACTGCAAATTATTGTGGGATAAAATGTGTGATCACAGAAACGTGAAGCATTGTCCACATGTGGGTGTTTTGATGTCCGTGTTCACATATATGTTGGTGTTCACTGTGTTCACATATATGTTGGTCTCCACCGTGTTCACATATATGTTGGTGTTCACCGTGTTCACATATATGTTGGTCTCCACCGTGTTCACATATATGTTGGTGTTCACTGTGTTCACATATATGTTGGTGTTCACCGTGTTCACATATATGTTGGTGTTCACCGTGTTCACATATATGTTGGTCTCCACCGTGTTCACATATATGTTGGTGTTCACCGTGTTCACATATATGTTGGTGTTCACCGTGTTCACATATATGTTGGTCTCCGCCGTGTTCACATATATGTTGGTGTTCACCGTGTTCACATATATGTTGGTGTTCACCGTGTTCACATATATGTTGGTCTCCACCGTGTTCACATATATGTTGGTGTTCACCGTGTTCACATATATGTTGGTGTTCACCGTGTTCACATATATGTTGGTGTTCACACATATATGTTGGTGTTCACCGTGTTCACTTATATGTTGGTCTCCACCGTGATCAAATATATGTTGGTGTTCACCGTGTTCACTGTTCAACGTACCGATGCCTGGAGAGCGTCTAGAGCCAGAGAGATGACGTCAGAGTGGTCATACGGCCCTTTGTACTTCATCGGCATCGTCTCATTCAGGAATGGCTTGGCGAAGTTGTCGAACTGTGGAACAGGTTTGAAACTGTTATATAACCCAGTCTAAAGTATATATATTCTATCATAGCGAAATCTTTTATTTCAAAGTGAAATAAAGAGAAAGTATACTTTATATATTTCTTATAAATTATTATATCAAAATTTGAGTTACGTCAAGTAAGATATCATATTTCGTTCCCATAAACATCATGAAGAGTCGATGTTCTCTACTGAATAACTAAATACAGTAACGACTGAATATTTTCCTCTAGGAATCTAGGAGTAAGGCTAGATATTGTGGTAACTATGGAGACGCACCTGGCTACTGAAAACGCCTACAGCGATTCCAGCGGCTACTTGTATGACCAGGATGATGCCGACCAACACGCCGTACTGAAATGGGAAGAAACGATGTAACACTTATGTGATGATATAAACTTGTAGGTTTTTCTAAATCTTTCATAATTATTTTCTTTACTGAGAAAAAAAGAGTGAGTGAGTTTAGTGTGACGCCGCTTACAGCAATATTCCAGCAATATCACGGCGACACCAGAAATGGGCTTCACACGCTGAGAAGAAAAGAATATGGCTGGTAAAATTAGCTTCATTTGTATCCATTCACACCAAACATTGTAGGCTATAATCTTTCACATTAATAAGACCTTTAACACTGACATGACGCTAAGGTGGCTCAGTCCACGAATCATAAGTTTCTTTTTAAGTATGATGTTAGCTAAACACGCTTTGTGCAACTGGTCCCAAGGTGGACCTTCACTTCGTTTGTCCGTTTAACGTTGGCCATGCCATTTGTATTCTCAACTCCCCGGGGAACATACACTGAAACTAGGCAACTACTGACCGTGATGAGGCAGCATCTGGACTTCTTGATGGCGCCGCAGAAGCCGAAGACGGAGATGACGAAGACAAGGGCTCCAACGGCAATGAGGATGTACGCGCCACTCTCCAGCAACGAGGGCACGTCATAGGCGTTTAGGTCGTCTATCTTGTCGCTCGAGTACCGGAATAGGGCGATCACGTGGGTCTTATCAACCACAACCCAAATGCCGATGCCAAGACATAGGACGCCGAAAATCTGTGAACAAAAGCTCAACGTATATTCATGAGCGTTTCATTATTTAATTATTGTTTATTTAAAGTACTGCTGATTGCATGCTTACGGTTTAGCAAACCTGACTGAAAGTCAAGTTATCACGTCAAACTGCTCATAACGGAAAATAATCATGCATGCGTTTGAGCTCAACAGTAGGTCGATGGGTGGTTTAGGCAGCAACTCTTAATACGCTCAAATGGCGAGTGTGGCTGTATTAATTACAAATATAAAACAACAAATAACATATTCCCCACTGTGGTGATGGTGACATGACTGGAGTTTTACATTGTGTACATTTTGGAACCATTTTGACTTATCCGTGTGTAGAGGTACTTAAATTAGGGGAAGTTTGATCGGTCGTTGGAAAAATATCAATAAGCTTCCTGTTCGTGTCCCCAAAACGATAACGTTAGAATCTGAATTTGAATTTGAATTTGTTTATCAAAGATAAAGGGGAACATTGAAATTAACATTGGTCAACCACCAGTATATAAGTCTATACCATGTTAAACTGTATTTCAGTGTTTAAGAATAATCTTTTCAAGCTCTGGTGGTTTCAGCAGCTTTATTCATATGAATCAGGTGAGTCACCAGGACATCCTGCTGCAAGATCCATTTCTTTCATATTTGAATTCGTATGTAAGATTTTTATTGCACAAGATTAAAGGGAGAATGCAGTGACGGGAACAGATTTATATGCATGAACTCAGGCCATATCTTATCAAGACAGGTTGCTGATTCAATGCACAACGTAGTCAGACCAACCCATGACGCAAAACCCAAATATCTGAAACGTCTCGAGTCTTATCGCAGTCAAGTAGTTTGCTCCAAACTAAAGCTCCACCTCCATGTCGCATGTTTGTAGCGCTTAGCAATAATGAAACCAGTCGATCTTTAATCAGGGCTACACCCGTCATCAGAAGAATCTGCTTGGCCATAGTGATTTTTGACAAATTTTCAAACCAATATTTTCTTCGTTTGAATTAATTAAATGTCACGGCAAGTCAATATACACGTCATGTATGGCCATCAACAATATGAACATTAATGCTATGACTAAAATATTAATATTATATGGCAAGTGTGACGTTGATGATAATGAACGAACATCATGGTCAACATAATGTGGAAAGGAGGACACAGACTAAACCTGTCTCTGGAGCTATTATCATAATCACACTGCCTCAAATGTTCACTCAAATAATCTTTAACGCTGATTTACTGCATCTGGAGGTATGCCAAGATTGTTAATGTACAATAACCTGTTTACAACTACTTTGGAGTTAAACAACTCGTGCTGGACTGGTGACCGCCAAGCTTAAGTTGTAGTGTTAGTAATATACTCACCAAGAAGATTATGTTGAAGACGATGAGAAAACACCGAGCTAGTCCTTGACACATTGTGAAGCTGTATTTGGGATTTCCTTTAAATCTGAAAGATAATAATAATTATAAAAATATAAAGATGATGATAAAAACATACAGAAACATGGCGATATAAAATAAGCTTCAAGAGGCATACAAAATAACTACTTGAGTGATAATACAACACAACCTGCTTGAACATAATCTTGACTGATCACTGATACGTGAGTACTAGAAAGATGTAGATACATCAACATGATCATGCAAATAAAATCTGTCACGTGATTTACACACACTATGTCCTCTTTATCGCTGATGGGGCGGTGGGGTAGCCTAATGGTTAAAGCGTTGGCTCGTCACGCCGAAGACCCGGGTTCGAATCCCCACATGGGCACAATGTGTGAAGCCCATTTCTGGTGTCCCCCGCCGTGAATGTTGCTGGAATATTGCTAAAAGCGGCGTAAAACCAAACTCAGTCAGTCAGTCAGTCAGTCAGTTATCGCTGATATCATATTATGATACTGTAAAACTATACTACAAGATACTATTTGTTGTAAAACTCATGATAGCGTGTTATTAGTCCTGTATCCGTGACATGTTAATGATGAGGAAATACAACTACAGCTTGGCTAGTTGGGGAAATGTTTGCACATTTAGAATTAAAATCGACAATACAACCACATTGTTACCTGTTATACGACACGATTATAACACCCCCTTCCCCCTCCTCCATCCCCACCATCAGTAACACAGAGAGAGAGATGGAGCGAGAGAGAGAGAGAGAGAGAGAGAGAGAGACAGACAGACAGACAGACAGAGAAAGAGAGACAGACACCAAGGTCCCAGTATCTCACCAGGAATGTAATCTTCGAGCCAGCTGTTACATAATCTGGAAGATACAGCCAACCTAATTAATTCGGGGTGATGAAAACCAAAAATTCCGGAATATCAAGGTTCCGCTATATACAAACATACCTGTCCTATACCAGCACCCTTTTATAGAAATCAATCGAATAATGATAGCAAGTATCGATTGTTGGTCCCCACAACATGCACACAACAATCACTATGTCCATTTAAAACTTAAATGATTGTTACTATTCAACATAATGTTCCGATTCACATGATGTCAAGCCAATCAGCGCTATACCTGAAAGGTCTTACCTGTAGTGAATACACGTATGTTATCACGGGAGCTATTTGCTAGTTAAGTCCTTAACGCCCAACTTCACCAGGGCAAGTCGCGATTGAAAATATTTGGCCAGCCTCTTAGTACTTATATCTGAACCGGTGTGGACATTGACGTCATCGTGAGTGATTTGTGAACAGTGTTTCTAGCTCCGATGAAGAAAAGGGATTGCGACATACGTTATTTTTAGCTTGCTGCCCTAAGTCGCGTTGGTGACCTATTTTTTCCTGTTAGTGTAAATATATTTTAAGGAAAACATTACCAAGAAATATAGGAGAAAATACTCTCATTTAACTCCACCAACGAGATACTAAACAGTTAATATTCACTTAAGTTTGTACTTTATCACATTTTCCAGGTTTCTCATATCCCTCTTTCATATTTCCCGTTGCTGTTTTACAAGACGACATGACCCCATTCTAGTATCTATATTAAGTTTAGGTAGTCATGTTATGTTTAAGTACTGGGTATGAATCTGTACACTTGAGAGTTATAGGGCAGGTAGACACCAGGATGTAATGCTATACGTCAGGGGACAAGTCACATGTCGGTATTTTTTCGGTCGTGATCGCTGATTGCCCAACATCGTATGACATTACACTTAATCTGAAGATGGCTGCCTCGTATCGGCATGGTGTGGGGGAGTGGGAGGGAGGGGGGAGCCGGGCCTCACTCAAGGCGTGGTTATGACTGATCGAATCGTGACACTGGCTGATTGTTGTTAGCGACGCTACAAACACCACCGCATGTGATGCAACAACCAACGTTTACTCTGCAGTATGTACACATTGTCTTATGATGGCTACTGCATGAAGCCATCGATCCGACCCGGAAGGGAGTTCCGTGAATACACTATCATGAAAGCTCATTAGATCGTGTTCGGGTTGAAGGTTGGCAATTCAAGGAAATAGTTCTTTTGACATTGTGTGAATACAACAAAGCTTGATGCCAGATGTTGCGAGATGACACAGACCATTGCTGTAATCAGTGTTGTATTTGAACGTTGATAGATGGAACTGTAATCTTACTATAATGGTTATCATTGTGGTGTTATCGATACATCATTACTCTTTAGTGCCGAGGGAAATGAGATATCGTCGTCTTTTTATTATTTAAAGTATTTTCACACTCTTCATAATTGTCATAATTGTCATCGCTTCAGCAAAATGGTCGGTTGCTTTGTTGTTTTGCGCCGCACTCAGCAATATTCCAGCTATATAGCGGCGGCCTGTAAATAATCGAATCTGGACCAGACAATCCAGTGATCAACAACATGAACATCAACCTACGCAATTGGGATACGATGACATGTGTTAACCAAGTCAGCGAGCCTGATCCCGTTAGTCGCCTTTTATAAGCATGGGTTGCTGAAGACCAATTCTAACCCGATTCTTCACGGGTACTTTAGAAGAATGGTAAGGAGCGCGGGCAAGATGGGAGATTTGGATTTCATCTGGGGAAAATGACATGGTTAAGGGACTGAGACTATGACAGGAAAACTGCCCGAAACTGCACCCAACCCGTTCACTATCATCAGGATGTTCTATCCGCGTGGCCTCGCGCCTCTAGCGTAACAACAATGTCTACCCGCACGGTCTCCCGCGAACACAACAACACCGGGGCAGATGCGTGTAACCCCATTACGTCCCTGTTTTAATGGGAACATGTCGTGTAATCCGATCCGTGATTGTGTTGTGTTGTCGGCGGCATAAGTCATGCATGGAAGACTTCCATCGTAAAGAAAGAAATACCTGGGAAATGTATTTCTACTGCAAGCGCCTTTGGCATCAGGAAAAACATGTTATAAAGCTGAAGTAAGTGAAACATAATATCGCAGGTTCAACATACGCTCTTAAAAGTAGGGCAGCATAATAAGTTAATATCATTTATGAGAACAAGGAACAGTGTTGACGACAAACATCATCTCTGCAGGAACACGGTGTCCTATCTGGAAACTTGAGACACCCTATAGTCAACATACGCTCTTAAAAGTTAGGCAGCATAATAAGTTAATATCAAGTATGAGAACAAGGAACAGTGTTGACGACAAACATCATCTCTGCAGGAACACGGTGTCCTATCTGGAAACTTGAGACACCCTATAGTTTGCAAATACCACATACCACACAAGTGCGTGAGGTGTCATTCCTGATTATGTCACTTTGAAAGAAGGTCGATTAAACTCCGTGGACCATGATATCTGCCAGGCTTATTGATTTTGTTTATCATACAATTGTGATTTACTTGTTTGTGTATGAGCTAGAAGTGATCTGCATGTGTCAACGTCATACACCAACGATCAAGCTGGTTACTTTGGCCAGGCGCTGCAAGGGGAGTAGGAAAGGTTGTCTCTAGTCATTTCTGGGGGACTCATCTCCAGTATGCCTTATTATGTGAATGAATGTTTGGCAAATCATGGTTGTATTACGCACTACTGATGCGAAAGCTTCAACTTTGACATTTTCTATCTTATCCCTATGGTCCTTCAAAATCGTTGGCGACCAGAATATCAACTGTTATACTTCACCCGGTTGTAACGGGTTATTTCTAATTATATATCTATTCTAAAAACAAATATTTCTTACAATTTTGAAAGTTTTTAGTTTCTTCCGAGTATTCCCTACATTTTTCGTTTTTGAAGAATAGTAGTTTTACCTGAAAAAATAATAATCTATGCTTCTAGTAAACAGTTCCAAGAACACTCACTCCAACAACACGGTGGATTTAACCGTCACTGGACTTAGCGCCTCTACGTCCATCCACTCATCGTTCAGAGAACGCCGCACGTGCAGTGTTCATGCCGACATCGACACTCGACCGTGTTTAAATGAGACATCAAAACAGATGTAAGGGTACTGACTGTTGAAGAGAATTATCGGTTTCCGATAGCATGGATTACCGGATTTCCAGATAAACGACTTGGCTAGTTCCCGTGTCTAATTTTTAAACATTCCTAACACTATTCGTCATTTGGTATTCGATTCTAGACAAATTCACTGGGGCTGATGTGGATACTCAGTGGTAACAGTCTGATTGTTGGGTTTTACTTCTCTATTAAGCCTTTAACCAAGGACACCAAAACCAAACACGGAGTCGTAAAGGGCGAACGCTTCAACTACTTGGCTAACGAACACACAAGTCGAGTCGAGTGTTATATCCGCATTATCCGTCTTACCAGCATTAGAGGCCCTCGGGTGGAACAGATGCCAGAAACAAATATTTACAGTTGGGTAAATCAGTATAGTATTTATTTACTTATAGATAGCAAGCCGCAACACACATAGATCCGCATGGGGCCTTGCTTGTCTGGTCCTCAGGCACCTGCATAGCCATTCCCGGTGTCCCCCGCCGCGATATTGCTGGAATATTGATAAAAGCGGCGTAAAGCCAAACTCACTCACTCACTCACAACTGCCTACTGTGTCCAGGCCTTAAGCCGACCAAGGGTGCTGTTGTTCAAAACAACCTTAGCGCTAAGGCTACCTTAAGTCAGTGTTAAAGTATGGGACTTACGGTCACCTTAACGCAAAGATCGCTTTGAACAACTGCACCCTGGTCCGCATTACCCACTTCTCTTTATAAGTCCGGATAAGTCGAATTGTTCATGATCCCTGTCGTGTAAACAGGATTTGTTCTATGTTCGTGACGAGGTTCACAAGGGCATGTTTCCACATTCACCTGAGTCAGCAAGTTAACGTATTGGCAGAAGGCCGACCTCTCTGAGTCATTCAGGCCGTGTAACATATGTTGGACATTGGTGATAACAACGTGCAATTATACAAATCAATATTAGACAAATATTCTGTTTGGATACCATTCAAAGGTTTATCAGCCAGGATTCTAATGCATTATTAACTTCCCGGCCTCTGCTAAACCATATGCGGACAATCTAATTGTGTTACACGTCAAGTATGAGGAGAGGAAAACCCAGATACCATCACGAAATAGTTACAATGCATTACCCGTCATTTGCTGCATGAGTAATCATGGAAATAGGTTTTTGAATATTCCCCGAGAGTGAATCGTCACGTGATCCCATAAGACTAATTTATTGTGATGATTTCCTGCGACAAGTGGGTATTGAGTACAAGCTGTTCAGGTTAGTAGGTGTAACGTGTAACTAAGTTGCCAGGCGACAAAACAGAAATCAGTTGTATTTTATGGTATCTACCTGGACCAGGTGGACTTCGATCATCAACCATACCCAAGGCTGTTGCTGAAGTGAGTGAGTGAGTGAGTGAGTGAGTTTAGTAATATTCCAGCTATATGGTGGCGGTCTGTAAATAATCGAGTCTGGACCAGACAATCCAGTGATGAGCATCGATCTGTGCATTTGGGATCCGATGACATGTGTCAACCAAGTCAGTGAGCTTCACCACCCGATCCCGTTAGTCGCCTCTTACGACAAGCATAGTCGCCTTTTGTGGCAAGCATGGGTTGCTGAAGACCTATTCTACCCCGGATCTTCACGGGTCATGTTGCTGAAGATGATTATAGTGTTAGAATTATATCAAACCTGTCACTGAAGGGTGTTACTGAAGGGTACTTAAAGCCCCTTTTACTGAACGGTGTTATTGAAGGTTACTTATAACCTGTTACTGAACGATGTTTCTGAAGGCTGCTTATAACCTGTTCATTAAGTGTGTTGCTGAAGGCCTTACCGTGGATTGTTTCATTGAATAGAGTATTGCTGAACATGATGTTAGTGAAGGGTTTTACTGAATGGGGTGTTACTGGGGGATTTTATTGAAGGTGTTTTACTGAGGATGTGTGGGACTAAGAAGTTGTTACTAAAGCGTATGTTATTGAAGGTTTATTACTTAAAGGAAAGTTATGTTAGCGTGAGTTTTCCTGGAAGTGCTTTACTGTACCTGTGTAGGTAGTTACTGAAAGGGTTTTATTTAATGGAATGCCACTGACTGGTATTTACTGAAGGAGTGGGTCTGAAGACGATGGTACTGAAGCTCTATTGATTTTTATTTAATACTACGTCATGCCGTCATACAGATGACATCACAGCCACTACTCCAGGACAAAGGTGCAGCGTTCATATATCCGTCAAGTACATATTTACAGATCAGAGAGAGCAGGTTGGGTATGTTATCTGATACTAGATCTCCGTCAGGGT